TTTTGTGGATTGAACCGGAAATCTTGCATGCACCCGAGAAGTTACATGACCTCATATGATTTCTGAGTTTCTCAGGTCTAACTGTGTATGATGCCGGGAAGCAGCTGAATTATGTTACAGGACAAGGTGTGTGAAGGTGAGGGTGTTGTAGGATGCCTGAAACATGGACTGTGTGGATGATAATTTATTGGAGATGATCATGGAAAGATAGTGGGAAACAGGATACTTTGGAGGAGATTTTATATTAAGAGGTGATATGTGAAGGAAATGTAAATGTGAAAGAAAGGAAGAAAGAGATTTCTGAGATCTATACTAAAAAAAAATTATAGTTACTTGTACGGCAGAGGAATTAAACAAACAGATTTGATATCCAGCAAACCAAAACAGACACTGGATATAAATATTTGTGCTGTGATACTAGTGCTCCAGGTGGGGATAAGAGCATCCATAGGGGACAGAAAAAGGATTCCAGCTGCTTCTGCAGTCCTTACATGCTAATGCATTCACATTTTCCTTAAATTGTCCATCCATTAAATGCTAGCTATTGTTACAAGGGATGTTCTCCTTTTAATATTATATTTCCAAATATTACTGAAGGCTGAGACTTTTTGATTTGGTATCTGAGCATATCTGTTCTATAGGTGCAGAAGTAATTTTGAAGTAATTGATTAACTACTGAGATTTAAAACATTCAAATTACAGACTTAGAGTTACCAAATGGTTTTCAGATAGAAAGCTGGGCATGTGAAAACATGAGTCAGCCTTCTTTTTTTGTTTGTTTTTTTGGTACTGCAGATCGAACTCGGGTCCTTGCACTTGCGTAGCAGGCAGCATCCTTCTTACACTATATTTAATAATAAAAAAGGTGACCCAGGCATTTTTAGGCCAAAAATGGTAAAATATATGTTGAAGAGTATCCGGTAGAAATGACAGGTTTGAGCTACCTGTTAATTTCAGTGGCACACCCTTTAGCGTTGCCACTCAAGAAAAACAGAACCTTTCCTGGCTTTCCCAGATACTTATGTAGGAAAGAAATAGCCACGTTAGTTTTAATTTTCTCTGAAGCCTTGGCATGTTTTAAGAGTGAAAAAGAGTGGATTATTGGGAATGTGGCTTCCCCTCTGGGGGGCTTACCAGTTTTAGCTGTTTTGTTTGTGATCGCATCTGGATATGTTCTGAACCACAATCCATAGAAACCAGGTATTAATAAGATGTTTTTTAGATGTGTTTGTTTCACTTCCTCATTTCACAGATGAAGAGACTGAAGTCCAGAGGGTATCCTAGTCCCTGAGCCTTTCTAGTGCCAGGGCTAGAATTTGCTTTGTTTCCTGGAGAGCCACTGCATTTACTTCCATCACTACACCTTGTCTTGTGTTGGGTCATGGGTCACAGAATAGGCACAAAAGGGGAAAAAGTGCTGACAAAATAGTCTTCAGAAATAGAAGGTGATGCACCTATGTTTTTGTACGTACCCAGTGGCCCCAGACACTTTGCCCCAAGAGCTCTTTGTGGTTTACTGTTGCCACTCTAAAGTCTCTGGGAAATTCAGGCTCAACATATCTAAAGGAACTGAGAACCAGTCCACTGATCTTATCTTCTGCAGCAGTAGAAGCAAAAGCCTCAAAACAATAGTCGTGCAGCATAATTTATTTTTAGACAAATAAGTCCCCAAGCAAAATGCTCTTCGTTTTACTCTAATGTAGATTGCACTTTTTCCCATGCTGTTCATTCTTTCCTTTTTGCCTCTTGGTTGGACTCAACCCTCAGGTCAGCAGGTCTGACTGTGGGACTGCAAAGGACAGGAAAACACGGTAGGAGACAAGGAAAGCAAATGACTAGCTTTTGGTCCCGTTCTGCCCCATGGGTGTGGCTTTAGGATCGTACTGGCCTGTCAGCTCTTGCAGGGGAGTGGGCAGCTGGTTGGAGCAACCTACCCCAGGACTGAGCAAACACCTGGCCGCCGGCAGCTCCTTCCTCATAGGCACGGTGGTGTAACTGTGCTGTATCAGTGTTGCTCTAGATGACCCAAGGATCTGGCACAATGAGAATTGTGGATCTTGGACTGTGGACTCTTTTAGTGATTATGCATGAAATCACAACCTGCAAAGCTCACTTATCAAAGTTTTAAGTTTCAGGTTACAAATACCTTTATTCTCTTCCTAGATAATCTGTGCTAAGTTGACAGGTGACCTGTTTCAGCACATTGAAGATATAATATCCCCTGTATCCTAGGCTTTATTGCTGACATTGAGCTACTGCTTGTCAGTATAAAAGTTACTTCTTAGACGGTAATCAGTCTTGTTTCTCTAGATAGTTTTAGAATTCTCATTAAGATGTGTCTAGGTAGCATATTTTAAAAATCTGCATATAATTTGTTAGGGTTCTGAAATCTAAATTGTGACTACATTTCAAACAATTAATTTAATGTACCTTTTACTTTGTCAGTTATTTCTATAGCCTTCACTAATATGCTTTTATATCTGTCCATAGAGTTTTTAATCTCAGTGCATTTTTTACCATTTTATTCATTTTCCCTAAATTAATTGACTTAAAAAATTTTGCAGGGCTCAGCAGTCATGTTTGCTTTTATTACCTTAAACATAAGTTCGACTGTTTATTTAGAGGACTGATACTTCAGAGATCTAAAATGTTTGTTAAAAACCTAAAAAAAGTTTGTGGGCTGCTCTGTGGTCTGTTGTTTCTCTTGTTGCCTTTTTTCTTATGTGTCTCATTATTTTTAATAGCATGCTTGTCATTGCATTTGAATATTGTTTGTAGGATTGATTTGACATTTAGACTATAAATACTTTCTTCCTAGTGTAGACTGCATTTTTGGCTTCAAAATCTAGGGGTAATAACAGTTCAAGATACCTCAAATAACATTCAGGACTTGAATTTTTTTGAAATATTGAAGTGATTTGAAGGGGGGCTCTAATCTGCATGGGGGTTGGCTTACTTATGGTACTCAGAGGGTATAACCCTTTGGGAACTGAGATTTTTTGGGGAGAAAATCTGCTGCTAGATTCCTCACTCCATAGGCTCTGGAAGATATAAACAAAAGTTTGAGCTTGGAAGAACATCAAGTGTTCTCATAGCAAAAGCAGCTTTTAAGTTCTGTTCATCTTTCCGGGTTCTGGTTCTCTCTTCAAATGTACCCTGGTAATTTCTCTTTTTTTTTGTCAACTATTTTGTCCTTTAACACTATTTTTGGACATTTTGGTTGCTTTCTTGTTTAATTTGTATTGGCATAAATGAAAAATCTAACATTTGTGGTTATTTTCACAATCAAATCCCCAGTCTTAAGATCTATTCCTTAGGAATATGAGAGGCATTAATTAAAGCCCTGAAATACTAAGAAAAATAAATAATTATGGTGAATCTTAAATGAAGTTGAAGCAGTTAGTACCAGCAGAGATGTGGCTAATGTGTCCTCCTGCCCTGCATGATGCTAGCCTTAATTAGTGTATTTTTTGTACCATTTTAATTCTTTTTCCCAAATTCAAGCACTACTTTCTTAAAGCACTACTTTAAGAAAGCAAAATAGCAAAACATATAGTTATAATAATGTTTAACTGTTTTGACTAAATGCCATACTATTTATATAAAAGCAGAGTACTGAAAATGACCCTAATATTCACTATTAGTAGATTTGTTTTAATAAGTTATGACAAATTAGTGTGGTAGCACATAACGGAGTAATTTAAAAAGATAATTATGATGAATATGTAAAAATCAAATGTTTATAATAAAATTAAATTATGAAATAAAATATCAAATGAAATAATAATAGCAGAACACAAAATAATACCTATAAAATAAGTACATTATTTGGAAGATGAATAAAACATACAAAAAGTACACCTATTTCACTGGAAAAGTGAATTTTTCTTCTTAAGAATTCTTTGTATTTGTTTAATCTTAAGAGAAAAGAGAAATTTCAAAATTTGAGTAAAAAACCATCATGCTCTTCCAATTTCAGCATGAAATTTTGTCATATTTAAAAAATAACAACCAAAAAAAGAGAGCAATTTGAATTTATAATCTAGGAGTACAGAATCTGCACAAGGCCTAAGCCATTTCAGTTTCTTCCTCCTGTGACCCCAATATAGCTCACAAAAACTGCCTTAATTCCTATGAGCTTAAAGTTTATTTAAAAAGTGAAAAACCCAGAAAAACTCTGAGGCCTTACCTTTATCACCAGGCTTCAATGTAGTTCTCAAGGAATGAAGTTTGGAGAAGATGCATCACTAGCATTTGAATACAACTGATTTGTTCTTTTCTTCTCCAGCAGGGAGGTATAATATAAATATCTACTTATATGTGATAATTCAATTTTAGTTTCAGCTATTTTGTTTTTTAAAAATTTATTTTCCCCCCAATGTCTTTCCCCAAATCTTTTCTTGTTCAACTGAGGGCTACTGATGCTTCAATTTCAGATTTAGAAATAGCTGCTTTGAGGTGGGCATTTTTTGATCTGCTAATCAAAATTTTAACCCATACCAACCCCACCACATGTATCTGAATAGCACACCATTCTTGCACTAATTATAATGTATGACTCCATATTTATTTGTTTACTATTTATCTCATTGTGAAAGCTGTAGAAGGGCAGGGATCATATCTGTTTGATATGACCTAAATATGTTATTTAATACTTAATGCTTTACATATTATATATTCATATATGACAAGTACACTTCTGGTTGGATTTTTTTTCTAGGACACAGTTTTATCTTTTGTCAGTTTTTTGTTTGTTTTTATTTTGTACCGGGGGTCAAACTCCGGACCTTACGCTTGCAAGGCAGGTGGCAGAATCACTGAGCTAAATCCCTGGCCCACCTTTTGTCAGTTTTTAATGACTTTTTTGGATGTAAAATTCTTTCATTTTGGTGCAATGGAGGTGACTTTGTGAAAAGATCACATTTATGTTTAAATGTAATTACTAGGAAAGCATCTTCATAAAATGTTATTTTTGCTTCGTTTTCTTTCTTTTTACCCAGAAGAAATAAATGATTCTGCCAAATATGAGATGTTTACATTTCATCATGGAGGTGTACAAGTTTTATGCAGATACCCAGAGATCGTCCAGCAGTTTAAAATGCAGTTACTGAGGGGGAAGCAGATACTCTGTGATCTCAATAAGACAAAGGGAAGTGGAAACAAGGTATTCATTCAGAATCAGATGTTCTGTCAACTCCAGTTATCCAACAGCAGTGTCTCTTTTTTCCTGGAAAACTTTGACAGTTCTCACCGCGGCTATTACTTCTGCAACATATCAATTTTTGATCCTCCTCCTTTTCGACAGATTGTTACAGGAGAATATTTGTATATTTACGGTAAGAAACAGCTTTTTCTTTGGGGCTTAAGAGTACATAGGCATTTTAACAGTCTTCTCACTAATGAAAACGAAGAAATACCTTTTGTGTTGGAGTTTAGGTGTAGTTCATGGCAAATCATTTTTCATGAAATATACAAGGAATGGCTTATCATTAATAATAATTAGTATTTATTGGCAATATGCAGTTTAATCATATGGGCTATTGAGTTAGAATTAGGTCATGTTTGTCTTCAAAACACATATGCCATTAAAAGCAGGAAAAAATTAAGACAAATACCCAAATTCATGGCTTAATGACTATTATTGCTATTCAGTTAAGGCATAAAGTGGAATGAAGTGAAATGATTGAAAATCATAGTTTTGTAACATTACTTCTCCTACTTACTGTTTGTGTGTGTGTGTGTGTGTGTGTGTGTGTGTGTGTGTTTGAAAGTATAGACAGAAAGGCCCTTTCTATTAATTGCATCTATAAACATAATATTTGTATAGTCTTACATTTTAGCCTCTGGATCCTTGTTGTAATACCAAAGTGATGTTAGTTACTATTTACTGACTGTCAAGAGTGTAATGAAGAAATACTTGATTTAACTAGGCATCTCTTAAATTTTATTTAAAAACTTGCGTCTGGGCACTGACAGAGATTTGATTCTCAAAGATTTTCATTAATGTATCTTTCTTCCAATACAGAATCACAGCTTTGCTGCCAGCTGAAATTCTGGCTACCCATAGGATGTGCAGCTTTTGTTGTAGTGTACAGCTGTGCATGCATATTTATATTTTGGATTCAAAAAAAGGTGAGCAATTTGTATTTTTTTTCTTGCATCTGCTTTCCTGAGTGGTTCACTTTGCTCTTTCCAGAGTAATTTGATCAACAGGTAGACAGTTTGTTTTCCTCCAAAATATGCTTACTAATTAAACTAATAGCTTGAACCAGATCTTATTTGTTTATTTTATGGCCCACTTCATTCCAAAAAGGACTCAGTGACTCAGAGATAGGTTAGTATTACTATTATTCAAGAAGGATAGGGAATTAGAGCCAAAGAAAAGCAAGAGGTTAGGAAGGCGGTCAAAGCAAAAATAGATGTTTCTGGATTTTTTTTTGGTACCGGAAATCGAACTCAGAACCTTGTGCTTGCCAGGCAGCTGCTGTGCTGCTGAGCTACATCCCCGGCCCAATGATTCTGATTTTTAAAAAGTTATTAAATGTGGACTGTAGATTTGAATCTAAGATTTGAATTCCTAAGAGTCAGGACAGCAATGAACTAATTGTTATAAGTTTCACTTAATTGGTAAGTTAAGACAATAGTGAGAAAATCTTATAAGGTGCCAGTAGTAACTTTGAAGGTTGATAACTTTAAAGTTTAAGTTATCCGACTCCTTACTTGTAAAGAAAACTGCTGAAAAGCTATTCAGAAAGATAAAACAACAATAACAACACAAATCTCTCTGTGTTGTAGGACTTTCTTTTTAATCTTTCACACTGCAGGTTCTCAATCAAAGAATTTAACACCCTTCAGCATGCCATATGAGTGTGGCAGTACCCAAGTGTGGGGTCGTTGTGCCAGATGGTGTGTACATCTCTGCCAAACTAGAATTTGAAAAGGAGGTAAAGAAGGAAGAGAATGATATAGGGCTGACAATCTAAGTCTTTTGGGGAAAGAACAATAAAGGCAAAAGTGAAGAAGGAAGCTCAGCGGAAAGCTCTTTTCATTTCAAGCTGTTTTCATAGTGTTCTCCTATTTGGCCTGCAGCCGGGAACCCAAGATTAGTTTTTCCTCACATACCACTTCAACAAGGACAACGAAGCAGAGAAAGCAGTCACAAAGCAGGCGGTGGGGTGGGGGTGGGAGTAGCAGATAACAAACTATGTTTCCGACTTTTTCTTCCAGAAGCATGAACCCAGCATGCATGACGCCAATAGTGAATACATGTTCATGGCTGCAGTAAACACAGCTAAAAAACCTAGATTTACAGGTACAGCTTCACTTGGGAATTTGGGTAGGGAGAAGAATTTCTTCATGATAATCTTGGAATTTTAATCTTTAATTTCAAAGAAAGAAAAATGTCTTGAAGCCTTCATTTTAGTATTTTCTGTGAAAATCTGGATTTTTCACTTTAACTGAATTTATGCCCTCTGCAGTATATTGAAAACAAACAATATATTTGTAAATCACTGTTGAAACTTAATAAATAGAAAGCTCATAAGCCATAATTTTATCAACATAATTTTCCAATTAGTATTTCAAAACCTGGAATGATTATGTCTTTCTTGTTGGAAGATTCATTTAGAGTGGGGATTTACTGAGTTTCAGTTAAGTGCAATTATGGAGTGTGGCACTATGGGAACCACACAGGTGGATGGGAATTTTGGACTGAGATTAGAAAAAGAGATCTGGGCTGATGGTACTAGGGGGAAGAAGGAGGAATGAATGAAGATACTCGGTTATTTCAATATAAATATATGCAGGTTTAGGAGACTTGGATGGCTTCAGCAATGTTAGGTGGAACTTTTGATCTATTTTTTTTTTTTTGAGAATTAAAATTTCATGCTGTCAAGTTTGAGGAGCATCCTCTGGAAGATTTGTATGTCTTATGCCTTTGAAAGTAGAATGATGTTAGGAACATAAAGAAGCAGAAACTACTGCATTTTTAAACTACTCAGTAGTTACGGACAGTATCAAAGGGACACAAGTAGCTTGTGTAGTCATGGAATTACAGCATAGAAAAGGAGCTAAAAATGCACCTTCAGTCCATTTCCTCCTGTTTTTAGATGACAGACATTCATGACCAGTATTGTTTTGGTTCTTCAGAGAGTTAATACTATATCTTTGACAGTTGCAAAGAAAGAGCTTTGTTTCATTACTTTGCTATTGAAAAAATATATTTTATCTCAACCACTGTGTTCATAATAATGTGCTCTCTCTTAGTTTGGACCCGCTAAAGCAAAATGTGAGATAAGAACTTGGGTACAAGTAGCTCATTTGGGATGTAATCCCAGGATAGAGTGAGGGAAAAGGAAGAGCGTGAGGCAGGTGAGGAGAAAGAGCACATGGACGGCTGGGGATGTGTTCCCAAGGTCTCAGGTCTAGGTCACAGAAGCCTGGCTTCACTGGGCTTCTGCAAAGTGTAGCACAGGTTGCCCCTGCTCTGGCTTGTTTTCCTGAAGGACGGCAAATGTGATGTTTACCCATTCCATCACCACTGGTTTGGAGCTGCCCGTAAGAGACAGTAACTCTTCCTAGTCTGTGTGCTGTGAGGAGACCAGGTTCAGAGTGAGGAGTTCAGATAATGTTTGTTCTAGGTGCTAAGAATGGGCTGACTAAAAAACAAAGAATTGGTACTGGGTCTTGAAGAATAAAGATGAGTTTAGTTGGTGTGTGTGTGTGTGTCTATATATGTGTGGGTTGTGGGTATGTGTGTATAAGAAGGAAAGAGAAAAATCTTGTTGAAGGGAATTGGCACATGGAGAACTTTTAAAGACTTTATGAAAAATTTCTGTTACAGATGTGACCTCATAATCTAGACCTCTGGCATCTGGGTGTGTACCATGCGAAGTGAGAAATATCCTTATTTCCTGGACCACAGACAATCTGACTTGATTGGACTACATATATCTCCTGCCTGTGTTTTGTTCAATCTGGACCAGTAACCATGTCAGTCAATAGGGATTTTAACAGACTGCCTTTGTATTGCTGAGTTCTTTTAAAACAAACATCTTCTTACAACTGACCTTATAGAAAGTCTTGCTCATGTGTGCTCAATCATCAGAAGTCCCTGGGATGGAATTGCTGCACCTGCTCCTTGCAATGGACCAGCCAGTAAAACAATCCCATTTACCAAAAAAAAAAAAAAAAAAAAAAAAAAATTAAAAGATGCTGAGGGTATTCATCTGCAAAGCAAACGAGCAGCCAAGGACCAGAATTTGTCCTCATTGTATGAACAGACTACTTCTTTCTGTAGGAACGGCATTCCTTTGTAATTCAGACAGTAGAGGGAGATGCTTCACAACTGTAGGTATTTTATTTTGGAGATGTTGATGCATAATATTCTGTACTAATACAGTAGTAGCTACACAATATCTCCTCTAATTTCTGAACCCCAGTTGACCACTCTACCAAAAGTTTAGATGCCTTCTCTTGCCTTTTTAAAAAAAATACTTTTACCTGCCTACTTGATAGCTGCTAGCCCCTCAGAATAAGGAGAAATGTCTACATTTTTCTCCTTTGCTGCTCATTGAAATTGTGTAGTCCCTATAATTTGCCTATATTTTCCCTACAAGAAAATTTTGCTCCACCACGACATCTTCTTTCTCCAGATTCATTTAAAATTGCTTATTTTGTTATTAGTGATAGGAAACATTGCTCAGAAACAAAAACAATTTCATTTTATTATCCTGTTTTCTACCACTATGTATGTTTTCATGGTGCTATTAATCACGAGCTTGACTGTTTTTGTAGATAACCTTAAAATTGTAAATGAACAACCCCATGTTTAATTGGTAAGCATTCTCCTGGGGGAGAGTGAATCATACATTTAGTCCAGAAGCTGCAGTTATTGGAGGCTCCTGCCAGACTGCGGCCATGCTGCCTCTGGGCTTGGCAGGTCCATATAGCCCCAGGAGCCTTCAGACTAGGGTGGAACTCTAGACTGAGAGACTCCACTGAGCCTGGGACAAACAACTGCTTTGTCCTCAGAGGCTGAAGTCACCCTGGGATTCAGAGTGGCTCTAACTACACTTGAACTTCTAGGAGCTGTGAAGAAATTCAGATGGGTCAGAGCACAGTTCCCTTTCCTAGAAGCTATTCAGCCTGGAAACTGACCCCAACCCTTTAAGAAAGTCTTCTTTAGAATATAGTTTGTCCAGGAAGTCTTAAATACATGTAACATGCTATTATTCTTAGCTGGAATATTTTTTTCACTTTGTCCACATGCCCAAAGCTTCTGAAACAGCCAATGTATATGCAGTAAAAATTGTAACTCTATGTGAAGTGAGGTTATTTTAGTAGTTTTAAATTTGTAGTTGCCTGCTTAGTTTAAGAGTGAGACTGGATTTATAATTATATATTCTTACGTTAAGCATGTGTAATGCTGGATGCGTACAGTATAGTACTGAGCTTATAATTTGAATCAAGTATCGTGATATTCTCTGTTTTCAGTGGACCTGGGCAATCTGGGTGGCTTTGCAGAGGTGTTCCCTGAGTTAGTTGTACCTTTCTGTGTGGTGGTGAAGATAGGCACGCCTGGTTGTCCCAAACTGCATCTTGAGGCATCCTCACCTTCAACAGTGAATATTTCAAAATGAATTACTGAAGGTCAAAATTTCTGTGAAATAAAAACTGGTTTTAAGAAGAGCCATTTATCAAATGGATTTTAGCAGTAGTAGGAATTAAAAAAATAAACATTTGATATTCAGCAACTGAAAATACCTCAGTGTTTTCTTTGGGCAGGGGAATGACTGCTTTAGTTAGCATTTGAAAATTTGACTTTGTTCTTGAACGATCTTGTACATTGCATGGGACACTTGCTTTTTCAATCTTGTATTCATTGTTTTATTTACTAAAACAACCACAAACTTAGGTAGAGCACAGAAAAAGACTGTTCTTTATCTGCACAAAGAGTATATTTTTCCTACAAGAGAATACTCTCCTCAGTAATCAACATTGACACACTGAAATTAACGTTGATATATCACTATTACCTAATTATTAGACTGCACTCAAGATTTGCTCATTGTCTTCATAATGTGAATATTAATATTGAGATGTTGCTACCATCCAATATTCAGACCGACTTCAAGATTTTCTCCTGGTCTCTACAATGTGTTTTATAGCCAAAGACCCTGCTCAGGACCTCCCTCTGCTTAACTGCCATGTCTCTGGTCCTTCAGTCTCTGGTCCTAGTGTCCTTAAGTCTGGAGAGTTCCTCAGTCTAGAATTCATGGCCTTGGCTCTTTGGAAGAGTAGAAGCAGTTATTTTGCAGAGTCAGTCTGATGTTTCTTCATAATTAAAATCAGGTTATTCATCTTCAGCAGAAATAGCACAGAAATACAATTGTTTATTAATTTTCATTTTAATCACTGGACTCCGGTGGCATCTATCAAGCTTCTCCACTGTAGAGCAACTCTCACCCTTTACAGTTAATAAATATTTTGTGGCGAAAATACTTTGAAGCATTGAAAATCTTTTGTTCCTCATCAACATTTCATCTCACTCATTTGTTTATTTATATCTGCATGGCATCATGTTTTGCTGTTTCATTTATTGGGTAATTTATTCTGTCTTGATGCTAAAATTGTCCCATCCTCATCCAGCAGAAGCCTAGTCAAACTGTATCTTTTGTTTGTTTGTTTGATTGCAGTACCAGGGATCGAACTTAGGACCTAGCACTTGCAAGGCAGGCGCGGCGCCACTGAGCTAAATCCCCGGCCCTCCAGTCAAACTGGATCTTGTGTCCTTCTGCCATGTCCCTACCATTCCCTTAGGACTTCCTTACAGAATGAGATAATTCAGCTTCAGCTTCAGTTTTCCCTGTCCAATGCTGGAATCAGATGCTTCTCCACAAGCTCTAGTTCCCTGGAGTGAAAAATGGTTTTAGAAACCAAGATACAGGCATTATTTATGTTTACTGATATAGAAATTTTCTTGTTCCTAAGATGGGTCAGTGGCTAGAGCTGGTGATATGTATGTACACACACAGACAAATAAAAATGTTTAAACAATGTGTATGTGTGTCTACAGATACATATGCACACATACACATATCTGTATGCCTATCTAGAAATCCACAAGTTCACACCCATGCCATTAATTTCAATCCAGTGCTACAGGGTTTATTGTAAATTTATCTCTTTCTTTTATTTATCCTTCTGGCAGTGAGAAACCTGACCTTTGTATCTTTAATGTATTTACTTACATTATTAATCCCCTGGTGTGAAACCTGTTTCCCATCTTCTTCCTCCCCTCCTGTGGTGCTCACTCCATGTGGTACTCTCCTTTCTCTGCGGGGTTTTGCTTCTTCATTCCAGGCTGCCCAGTCTGTTGCTCTCTCTGCCCAGGCTGGCTCTAGCTGACCCTAGATGTCCCCAATCCATGTATATCTTTTTATCCAGTTTGGGTCTCACTCTCCAGGCTAGGTCATGAAATGTTCCATGAAATGTCCTCCATAACCCATCTACACCCTGAGCCCTGCTTGGGGCCACCATGGGTCACCTGGCCCTGGATGTACAACCCCATGGGGTGTGCTTTTCACTGTCTAGCAGAGTGTGTCCATGGTGTTATGTTCCAATTGCCTAAAGTGAAAACTGGCTTGACACTCTTTTTGTTTTCAGTATTGGGGATCAAGCTCAGGGATACTCTACCACTAAGCTACATCAGCAACCCTTTTTAGAAATTTAAATTTTGAGTCAGAGCCTCATTAAATTGCCCAGACTGGGCTCAAACCTATAATCCACTTGCCTCAGCCTTCCAGTAGCTGGGATTATAGGAGTGTGCTGCCATGTCCAGTCTGGCTTGACACTCTATCCATAGCTGTTCCTCCCCCAATTCTCTTCTCCACTTCTCTGTTGATGTTTTCTTCACCTGACTTATATATACTCCTTACCCTGGAATCTTTGTGTCACAGTTTCTGGAGGGACTCACATTGAATCACACCCTTTGCCCCTGTGGGGCTTTGGAAAAATAGCTGTTGTTGGGCCCTGGTGCTTCCTTCTTCCCTGTTCATTCCTTGACTCCTCCAACCTTTTTGGGAACATTTGTTTCATCAAATCTCTTCACCTAACCTTTTAAACTCCATGTATTTCTAGGATGAGTCACACCAAAATGTGACCTGCTCTTCTGCACATCCTTCCTCCTGCACTACTGCCCCAGGCCCGGAGTCCTCCAGGACTGACTGTCTTCTTAAGAGTATCTTGAGTTCTGATGAGTACAATTATCTACCTTAGATCTTTTTCTTTGTCAAGCTCACATACTTTGCAGTAGGTGTAAGGTCAGACTGAAGCATGATTGAGATCACCGAGGGAGGCAAAGTTCAAGTAACATGCAATGAGTTTATTGCTGTCTGGGTGCAGACAGGCCAAGAGTGAAAAGGCCTTTGGCACTGAGAGGAGGTTGCATGAGGTTGATATGGGGGAATTTAGGTAGGGGAGGGGGCACTGGTTGAGAAGGTGGAAAATTTTAGGGTCCCATGGGTAATAAACAGAGTGGTGGTAGAAGCAGCAGGGTGGCTGCTGGCTCTCTGTTATCTCCTGCAGATGTGGGTAGTGGTTCTGCTTGTGTGGTGGTGGGGGGCGTCTGACTCAGGGGCCTGTCAGTAGGGACACTTTTTCCTTGTGTGATCCAACTCCACATCCCACTTCAACCCACTCCACTCTTCTCCTTTTTTACTGGTGGAGATTTCCCTGGGTGCCATGGAAGACAGGCTGTGCTCAAATTAGTTGTTAATCAGCTTTCTTTCTGTGTAAAGAGGAGCTGGGGAATTTGAAATTTTCCAGGAGGATGAGTGCATCAGGATCAATATTTATTCTCCTCCTCCAGGGTCTGTGTTCTAAGTAAGATGAGAAAGATGGTGAATTCACTGACTTTTTCACTAAAAGGCAAGCTGTGACTGGAGATCTTTCATTCCATACCATGTTTTATTTCTCACTACCTTGTTGATTAGTGTTCATGAATTCAGTGTATGAATCTTAACTGTTCATCACCTTGCCATATATTCTGTCCAAGGCAGTGAGACAGTTTGTGCTCATATCTATAAATAACCCCTCATGCCAGTCCTTGTGGACTTTTCCCTGTCTTAGGCTTTCAAAATCTATCCATTCTTCTGTCATTTCAGGGATTTGCTCTAACCATGATCCAGAGACACACTTTCTC